GTGAATGTAATGAACGCGACTCTCCGATCCTTCAATCCGATTCGCAATCTATTACCCTTCGCTCCCTCCTATTATTTACACGCAGACTATTGTCCCCATCTTTGTTGTTGTTATCATAAGATTTCATGCCTCCAGACGCATCAGCAAGCAGGTTAAGTTTAAGGTTCTATGTTCTCTACTTAGAATTTTCCCATGAGATTATATCCACGCTGATTAAAACGTTGGTTCGTGAATTTAGCGACATAGTAATTGCGAGTTCAATCCCTGGGCCGGGCAGGGTGTATAATCAGGGTGAGCAATAACCGAGCAGTAACAACGAGACGAGATATGGGCATGCACAACCGAATGTAGATCAAATTCCGTTTGAAATTCCCTGATGAAAGCCGGGAAGTACAACGATCGAGACATTGTTATGTGGAAATGACTCGCATGTGAATATTATAAATAAGTAGATTTATAAATTTTAAAATGCCAACCTTGAAGTATTTATCTGATTAGATGTCATCACGCATGAGGAATTACGGAGATGAAATTAATGTATCAATTACTTGTTCAATAAAGGCAAACGACATTTGAGTCCTACTCCAAACCGATCAGGAGATAAGTAGGCAACTGACATACCCATTATGATGCTTGAACAGGACAATAAAATTAAGTTATGAATATGAACTTTGAGAGAGTACACAGTTCTGAGACATAAGTGCTGATCTTACACGTAAGACTGGTACTATGCGTGTATGATATAATTTGATATTGTAAATCTGGATATCATACAGTTGACATGAGTACGCAAGCACAGATATGCACTGATATTTTTTATTCTAATTTGGATCACTACGTCCGTAGCCTAACGCAGACATTTGCTGAATTTTACTCGTAAATGTTCACTAAAATGTTCGATTTATGAAGTTAATAACGAATTGGGTCAAGTGCGTTGACAAAGCAAGGAGACTATGTTGAAAAATATAGGCTATGTACTTTACCTACAAATGTAGGCATAAACGTGTGTGTGTGTGTGTGTGTGTGTGTGTGTGTGTGTGTGTGTGTGTGTGTGTGTGTGTGTGTGTGTTTGCACGCATTTATATGTTCAGACATATTGGGAAATTCAGCGCATTGCAACTAGACCGTCTTTGGTGTGTTATTTACGTAAATTAGTCATTCATATGTCTCCGTTCAAATTTCTCCTATTTCTATGTGCTGTGTCCCTTCAGGACGTTAGCGATCATGGCTCTCCACAATTTCCTGTCATTTGTAGTTCCATTCAAACATGTTGTATATGTAAATGTAAAATCACATAGAAAACAACTCGGAAACAAAAAAAAAAAAAGAAAAAGTAGATCATTTAACATTAATTTTGATGCAAAAGTCTCCAGCATCTTTTGATAAACTATTTTTAACCGTATATTATCATAACATTATTATTCAGTCATCAAAGTGTTTTCTTTGGCTGTCAATGATCAGTCGCCACCTTTGAACTAAATTTTGTTTTCAGTCATGCAGAAAAAAGAAAAATCTTCACATACCAGCCCTATCATCGTTTGCTCTGTCGCATTTTTAATAAGGGGATGTCATGCAGAAAAATTGCCGGTTTTCTCTTTTGCCCGGACTTGTGTATGGGTGAATAATTTTCGATACAAAATATTTCTGCATTTATTAATCTTTTATTCATACAACTTCTTGACATCATTATTCAGCCGTTTTCCTTGATTTGTACGGGTTTATGTCAGTTTTCATTTAAATTGTGTATTCCAACATAAAAGAGTGATTCCATTATTGATTTAATGAAATCTTTAAAAAGTTTTTCAGAACAATGTAAAGCTTGTTGGAATCGTTGTAAAGGCGAAAAAAGCTGTATTGAGCTAAATAAGTGATTGTTTGATAGTGACAAATCTAGAGCCTGCATTACATATGGAAAAAACTCGCTATGATCATTTGATGCGTCGTATTTGTAACATGAGTACGGGTATTTTCCTGCGGTGAAATTCCCAGTAGAAAAAAAGAAGACGAAACTAGCTATTTTCCATTCCAAGGCATGATTCAAACAAGTTACTTCTTTTTTTTTTAACCTTTAAATTGACGTACTCTTTGTCCTGTAACTTCTTTCAAGATTACTTTTCAATTAATCGCTTTAAAGCTCTGAACTCTTCCTCTGAAGTCTTTATCCCTTAAGCCCAAAATATTAATTAAAATTCTCAACATAAATTCCATAATTTTTCACTTATTGCATTACTGTAATGCGCTTCAGTCGAAAACAATAGTAGTAAAATCTATTGTCCAGTTTAATCGAAGAATCTTATTGATATTATTTAAAATGATCTCATATTAAATAATCAGGCATGATTTCTTGCGGGCTGATGTGATGTAGCGTTTAAAAAATAATGTAAGACACGTTTCTAAAATCAGGCTGCTTACGGCCATATCATATTGAAACACCGGTTCTTGTATGAACAAATAAATTAAGCAAAGTGAAGCCTGGTCAGTAACTAAAAAGGGTGACCACTTAGGAATATCAGGCGTAGTAAGGTTGGATATGCGGGTGGCGTAATAGATAATGGCTCAGAATTCTTAATCGGAGATCTGAGTTCCAATTCCAGTTAGGTTCATTGCATCCACATGCAAATAATTTGGAATAGGTATGAATTCACCTCTTTTCCCCATAGTGACAGGTTAATAACTAAGATTTGTATCACTAAATCAATATATATCAATATCCCCCCCCCGACAAAAATATAATTCTCAAATATTATTTTAAATCGTTTCTCGCTTTAAATAACCTGCAAGGGGTTGATAAGCCGTAGAAAACGAATCGATCAATAAAATCCAGCAAACGCTCATATCTAAAAAAAAAAAAAAAAAACGACACGTGATGACAATTCCAAGTATAAATTATTTGTCTAGGGAGCAAAGAAGTTTTTGTGTTTTTAATGTAATCTTTTAACTGAAACATAGAATTGCGAAAAAGGGTTTTGAAAATCGCCATGCCTTCCTTTCTGTTACGTCAAGAATCAGTTTACTCAGCTTAGTGTAATCTGATATAAATTCAGCTAGTAAGAAGTAATTCAAAAACACTAGTCAAGTCTACTAATCTTACACTATGGTAACTAAGCGCATCCAATAATAAAGGAAAGCAAGAAGAAAAGACTACGGATTGACTGTAGGATTACAGAATGTAGGCTTACCAGTACAAGACACGAACCAAAACGGGAGCGGGGCAATGAGCAAATCCAAATCAAGGAGGTACAGAAATTTAACTATCCGGACAACGTTGTGAATACGGCGGAAATTATGACACAGAAATCCGAAATTGCATTGCAATAAGGAAAGTTGTCTCCCAGAAACTAAGCAAAGTATTAAGTGAGATGAAAATATTACTAGCAAAACAAAACAAAAAAAACAAACAAAAACCAGTGCAGAACTGCTATGAAATAACTAAGTGAATTCTAGACAATCCCTTCACTTACGAAGAAAATTGAAGCAACAGAGGTGTGGCTCTACCGACGAATGGGTTAACAATACTGAGAATAACAGAGACAAAACATGTAAGAAACGAGGAAGTTTTAAGGAAAATATGAACTAAAACAGCAATTATGCAGTCAGAAAAAAACTCCAAATCCAGAACCTTCTTACTCCTGTTGGAAGAATCCTTATTTAGTTGACCATGTCTTCAAGGGTGTAGCAGTACTCTCTACGCGTGACCAGTTGCGGATTGGTGGATCTATAGTCCGAGGGTATTTGCATGTAAGTGTATATAACGAACTCAACTGTAATTGGAACTAATCCAGCCGTTATCAATGACGCCAGTATCCATTTGGTATCAGTCAGAGACTCTAACCCTAAGCAATTGGCGCACGGTGGAGAAAGGGAATTTTCGAACGTATTATGTACGTGATGTATACAAACGTCAAACCAGTAGCCAAAAGCGCTCAATTCATAAGTGTATATATATATATATATATGAATTTTGTTTCTCACCGGTGAAGAAAAAATGTATGTTCATAATTAATATATATATATATATATATATATATGCTGGATTCTCCAGTCGTTTTTTAGACATATATGGGAAAAGGAACTCAATTCCTAGGAAGCGACAGCCAGACAACTGAATATATTATTTGATTATAGTGGTGAAGACTTTTTGCAGAACCAACCACACTTTTTGAAGGGCCAAATACAGAGACCAGAATTTCCCCAAGCAACCCTCTGCAGGTTGTGAGTTGTCCTTCTCCTAAATCAGTTGCCATTCATGACTACAGAACCAGTCTGTCCTGCTATTTACCCATAGCTGGGATATATATATATATATATATATATATATATATATATATTATTTCATTTTTGCTCATTTCAGGCATAATTAGCGTCAGCTGTTTATAAGGTAGGGTTTTAGAAGACTATTAAAGAAGCACCTAGAATTTATGAGTCCATGTCTATCGATAATCGCTTGTGTCTATCATGTTATCCTCTCTACCAACTGCTTCTTTTCCGTGGTGTTGTAAAATGACAAGATTTTATAATCTCAAAAATTGAATGATCATGGACCTCTACAATATCTTGAATTTTGCTACTCTATCATTCTTTACCCGTTACCATCCCTTTGACCTTGTCTTTCATCCATTCGCCCGTACTCGTTAAGTGGAGGTATTCGACGTTTCTTCTTGTTATTTTTGCCAACACTACGCCCCAGAATATTAGATTCGCCAGGTCTTTACTCAGTAGGTGCCCTAGCATTTTAAACTATCTGTTTCTTATATATATATATATATATATATATATATATATATATATATATATATATATATATATAATAAATTGATTTATTTATTTTTTTCGCTACACAGTTCTAACCATGGTTAGAACTGTGTAGCGAAAAAAAAAATATATTTTGAATAAATCAATTTAGAATATTAATGCTCAGTAAATTTACATTGAGCACTATTTTGTAAAAATAAAAATATAAGAACACTGTATTATATATCTTACTGTTCTTTTCTTTTTATTTATATATACATACATATATAGATATAAATAGATATAAATATATATATATATAAATAGATATAAATAGATATCGATAGATATAAATAGATATAAATAGATATAGATATAGATAGATATAAATAGATATAAATAGATAGAGATATAAATAGATAGAGATATAAATAGATAGAGATATAAATAGATATAAATAGATAGAGATATAAATAGATATAGACAGATAGATAGATAGAGATAGATAGATAGATATAGGCAGATAGATAGATATAGATAGTTAGAGATATAGATAGATAGATAGATAGATAGATAGATAGATAGATAGAGATAGATAGAGAGATAGATATAGATAGATAGATATATAGAGATAGATATAGATAGATAGATAGATAGATACAGATAGAGATAGAGATATATAGAGATAGATATATAGAGATAGATAGATAGATAGATAGATAGAGATATACAGAGATAGATATAGATAGATATATAGATTGATATATATATATATATATATATATATATATATATATATATATATATATAGAGAGAGAGAGAGAGAGATAGATAGATAGATAGATAGATAGATAGATAGATAGATAGATAGATAGATTAGAAAGACTATAATACTACTAAGACGCGAGGGGTTACCGTGACTGGAGTTGAGAAAACCTATCGGTTTGAGCGTGTATGCAGGACTCAAATTATTATTAAACTTCGAATTCGATACGGTGTGCAGTTTTTCCTATGTTACAGTCACAAGCAAAAACAGAAGCAGAAATAGAATCATTATTATATAGGGTTAATCAAATGTAGTAGATATATAAAATATAGTTTATATCAATGATTGTCAACCGTTAGTGTGCCTCGCGATCCTTTTAAATGTACCGCGAAATGTTTAAGAAATCTCAAAAAAAAAAAAAAAGAAAAAGAAAAGAAAAAAGAAAAAGCCACTGGTTTCACACTAAATAAGCTTAAAAAATAGTTGAATAGAAACATTGAAATAAGTTAAGTTTATAATGTGTATCTAAAAAATCTATAGTTTTATTTCATAATATTTAAATATACACCCTTTTAATATTTTGCTAGGTAAGCCGTCATAATTTCATTTCCTCCTAGGTGTGCCGTTACTTAAACAAGTTGAGAAACACTGCCTTATATAAACACACATTCGCAAATACGCTTTTAAGTAGGCGCCCAAGGGGGTCGTCAGTGATGTTTTTGACTTGGTTCATCAGGGAGTTTCGGGTCTTCCAACATCATACTCCCCATCACCAAATCGACCCAATCAGGGGAGATCAACCCCTGATTCCCCCTTTTAATTAAACGCTAACAGCCACTTTGGCCTTTTTGAAGAATAAAAGGAAGAAAGACCACATATTCCGCACATCCGATTGGATGTTTGTAACAACCAATCCGGTGCGCGAAATATCTTTTAAATAGCCCGCGGTGGGGACTGGTTTTTTTTCTTATTTCGGTGGATTGCGGTTTCGATGGATAACCGAGGAGGTAATCTTAATCTTCCTAAAACTTCTCCTTAAGTATTGTATGGTTTAATTCTTTGCCGTTTTTATTTTATTTGTACTTTTTTCCCTTTCTTTTGGCGGGGAAACTTAAACTCAACTCTATTATCCCATTTTATCGTTTAGACTGTTTCTTAACATTATTGCATGTTAACTTTTGTTGGATGTATTCTCAAAATTAAGATAATAATTATACATGAAAAAAGAAATCTCATCCGACAACAAGGACTCTAATCAGGAGGTTTTGAGGAGCGTGGAACCACTTCTTTAATTGCTGGTGTTCCCAGGTCCACCCTGGGAACACCAGCAACTATTAGGGTTCCAGATATGGGAAAATAGTTAACCCCACCCAAACTTAGGTCAAAACCTGTAAAAATAGGTTTTAATACCAGAAATACATTTTTGTAAAAATTAATACCAGCAATAAATTTTTTATGAAAAAAAATATTACCAACAATACATTATTATCAGCAATACTTTTTTGGAAAAAATATTGCCAATAATACATTTTGGAAAAAAAAAATTACGAACAATATTTTTTTGAAAAGAAAAAAAAAATTACCAGCAACACATTTTTGAAAAAAATAATTACAAGCAAACATTTTTGGAAAAACTATTACCAGAAATACTTTTAAAAAAAAGATATTACCAGCAACAAAAATCTTGTTGGCATTAAATAACCCACTGAGATTGATATGCCGTAAACCAAACAAAACCAAACCAATCTTTATTTTCTAGTGCAGCGATTTAAAGAGTTGAGTGAAATGTTTGGCGAGACATGGGTAACTCCGCAGATGTAAAGACTGATGAATCTATTTTGATTGTCCTCAATTACTTTGCGAGTTTTACGATCGAACTCAAATCGGAAGATGCTGTTTACAATCGCTTTATTCTAATTTGAAATAATATCTATCTCAACATCTACAAGGTCATATCCAAAGGTTCAAGTAAATTAAGACGCTAAGTGTCCTCCTCAGATAAATAACGTCGAACAATGGCAGAAAATAAGCTTCTTTATTCTTTCAAATTTTTCTATCGAAAATTTTAGAGACGACAGAATTGAGTTGAGTGACACAGTAAATGATGACAGATGAAAAATGATTTTTTTTATTCAAATGACCTTTGAGACATTTTGGTTATGCCTTGCATATATAGCAACAACAGCAATTAGTGTGCATTAACGTGCATTGTAAATAGTGTAAATAATTACAATGCCTCATCTCAGAAATATCGACAGATAACATAGTTATATCGTTAGAAAACTTTTTTATTTGGAATCAACATGACCCAGTGAAATTTCTGTTACCATTTTGTTGGACCTACACATGTTAATAGCCCTAATATATTTTCAGAATTTCAGTACCTCGTAAATCTAACGAATCCCAACGGTCATCTAATCCCAGTTGGCACGTACGTGTTTTCATCCTGAATTATAGATGAAAGAACAAAGTCGACGCTCTCTACTCTCAGTGAATAATTCAAAAGGAAATCAAATTCTCTTGCCGTAATTGATCGATATAGGGCGTAATCACGCTTAAATAATAATAATACGATAATAGATATTGATTACCTCCCACCCCACAAAAAACAAAAGGTTTTAATCAATATCAAATCAGAATTAAAACTTTTCCGTTAGAGTCGACAGTTTGACGTCTTATGTAAATGAATATTTTGGAAAAGGTTCGACAATTTCAAGTTAGAATTTGAATTGAAATGTATTTCTGGTAAAAAGAAAAAGTGCTTATTTATAAGGGGCGCATAAAAATTGGATTATGCGGTTGCCTCCGACTTTTCAATATTTAGAATTATATATATATATATATATATATATATATATATATATATATATATATATATATATATATATATATGTGTGTGTGTGTGTGTGTGTGTGTGTGTGTGTGTACATTTTTCCTCACCGGTAGCAGTACTAGGAGATTGATGAACAAAGCAATCTTTTCAATTCAGCGCTTCTCAATATTGCTTTTGTGCATGAAAATTGAGTCATGCCACCCGTGAGGAAAAAACATGTATATTTATTAGTATATACTTAATAGCACTGTTATAGATGCAACACTATTATACACACACACGTAAACACACATACATAAACACAGACACGTATACACAGACACACACACACACACACACGTAAACACATGCATACACACACACACACACACACACATATATATATATATATATATGATTGCAAATACAACAACCCAAAACCAGTCATTAAACAAATACCTGACGACATTGAATAGAAACTCAAAAAATTCCTCAAGTTTATCGATTTTGGAAGAAAATCTGAAGTGTTACGAGAGAGCCCTGCGGAGATAGGATATAAAAGCAAGCTGGAAGTTAACACTCAAGTTTATATTATATATATATATATATATATATATATATATATATATATATATATATATATATATATATACAAAAATATAGTATGCTATATTTATGGTTAAAGTGCTCAATATCAGAATATGTAAATATAAAAATAGACACTGTAGTTAACATCCTGAGGCGACAGTCTGCCTCATGCTAAACGCAATCATCAGGCTATCGATAGAGCGTTAACTTTAATGTTCACTTTTATATATATATATATATATATATATATATATATATATATATATATATATACAGACACAGTGTACGAGAGATGAATTGTCGCCATATTATATTTTCAATGCGAGTTGTTTGTTTTTGTTTTATTTTGTCACCTGCACTATATAGTAGGGCCAGTTGGGCACCGTCTGTGAGAAAAAGATCACAATGATGCAAATTCATTTTGTCTGAAATTTGGAAACGACATACTGTGCTGCTTGACATTCACGTAGGAAACTCCAATACGAACATTTCAGAGTGTTTGGTTGTCAATTTGAGGACAGTGCAGAGGATTCGCAAAGAGGATTACGAATGTATGGCGACACAGAAAACTTACTCTGATCATTCTGATATAAAAAGTATTTCCGAATTTATTGGTGAGGGCATCACACTCAACACGGAGGCCTACATCAAGTTCCTTGAGCAGCTAGTACCACCCTGGGTCAAGATGCTGGCTGCTGGAAGATCCTACGCCTGACAATAGGCCATTGAATTATGTCACACAAGCAGGAGAACCCAGTCATAGCTGCCAGATAATTTCTGCGACTACATCACCCTTCACATATGGTCACCTAACTACCCAGACTGAGATCCTCTTGCTTATTTATTATGTGTGGGGCACAGTTGACCGAGAGACTAGCAAAACTCCTTTTGTCACCAAAGATAAACTGAAGGCAAGGATTATGACAGCATTCACCAACTTAAACAAGGAGACCGCTCAAAAGAGTTGCAGGAGATTCCGAAGTCGTTTGGAGGCCGTGGTTGAAGCCAATGGCAATTTTATGGAATAATTTTACTCTTTTCTGTTTCAAGGTATTTTGGGGTAATTTTGGTAAATATATCTGTTAAAATGAAATGTCTGTTATTTTCATTTTGCATAATTTTAGAGAGCCATATTATATATATATATATATATATATATATATATATATATATATATATATATATATATATATATATAGGGAAACATATATACAAATATTTTTTGGTTTTAAATAACCTGCAAAATGTTCATAAGCTGTAAAAAAAAATCGATCGATCAATAAGAAACATTATTTATCTTCCTACGTTTTTGCCTATTTCGTATTTCCTCTAGAAAACTGAGTTAGTTAAGCTTTATCTGACTTAATCGATTTGCTTGTTGGGTTTCAAATTGCTTAATAAGAAACAGTACCAACCAAGATAAGCATATCCATCATCTCTAAATCGAAGGGAATTGAATCATATTTACATTTGTTCTTAATATCATCTATCGATTTCTTGGTCTTTGCTCCGATATAATGTGAATTAACAGTTCCTCCATGTTACAAATCGCCCTCCATTTTTGTTTCTTCAGTCAGATTTTCATGATAAACTGCACGTACACACTTGCACGCATTTTCCCAGGTGAATATCTATGTACCTGTGTGTGTGTGCGTGCGTGTGTGTGATAGAGAGCGAAAGAGAAGAAAGTTCGTTTTTAGAAGATGAAAAAAAATGGCCTGGTAGTTAGTTTTTATGCGCATGCGTGCATCCATTTCTGGTTCTTCTCACATCGACAGGCAAGATGAATGTATAGATGTATGTATGTGCGAAATTGTATTTTTTGTCAGCCGATCAATTATCTCCTTCCTTTATTGAATTACGTTTTTTTTATGACTAAATGACAAATAAAAAAATCAAAATTATCATTTTCTCATCATTTTCTCATCATTTTCCCTTTTTTTTTTATATTTCTTCCTTCCTATTTCCCCAATCCTCTTCTCCTTTCCTTCTTTCCTTCTTTCCTTCTTTCTTTCTTTCTTTCTTTCTTTTATCTCATTCATTAGTTTTTCTTTTTTTTCTCTTTACTTTTTTATTTCTTTTTTTTATTGTAGTCTCTTTTTTCCTCAATTATTTTTTCTTCCGACGTTCTTCCGCCTTTTCTTTTCTTTTTTTTTTTGCATCATTCGTTCATTTTCCATCTGATACTATCTCTCCTTTCTCTCTTTCATTTATTCTTTCTTTTTTCTTTGTTCCTTTCTTTGGATAAATGTGTATTTTCTTTCTTTCTTTCTTTCTTTCTTTCTTTCTTTCTTTCTTTCTTTCTTTCTTTATATAAAGGCGTATTTTCTCTCATTCTTTCTTTAATATTTCCTGATATAAATGTATATTTTCTTTTCTATTTTTGCCGTATTTGATATTTTTTCTTTATTTTTTTCATTCGTTTGTTCTTTCTTTCGTGAGATAAATGCGCATTTTCTTTCTTTTTTATCTTTCTTTCTTTAATATTTCTTGATATAAAAGCGTATTTTTTCTCTTTCTTTCTTTAATATTTCTTGATATAAAAGCGAATTTTCTCTCTCTTTCTTTCTTTAATATTTCTTGATATAAAAGCGTATTTCTCTCTTTCTTTCTTTAATATTTCTTGGTATCAATATGTATTTTCTTTTCTCTTTTTATTGCATTCGATATTTTTGCTGTGATTTTGTTTTTACATTTTTCTTTTTCATTTCTTTCTATTGTTTTATTTTTGTGTCACTTTTTTCGTTGTACTTTTTTGCCTCACTCATTCTTTTTTCTACATACTTTCTTTCTTTCATTTTTTCTTTTCTTTTTTTCTTTTGTTCTTGTCTCTATTTTTTTTTTTTGTTTTCTTTTTTACCGCATACCAACTTCAATGGGTTATTTAATGGCGTCATGATTTTTATTGCTAGGAATATTTTTTTTTCAAAAATATAATGCTGCTAATATTTTTTCCCCAAAATTTATTGCTGGTAATAATTTTTTCTTCAATAATTCATTACTTGCTTTTACAAAAATGTATTGTTGGTATCAAACCGCACTTTTACACTTTTATGGTGTTTTGTCTTTGGGTTAACTATTTGCCTATAGCTGGGCCCCTAACAGGTACTACCACCCTGACCACAGGCCTTGCTGCTGAATGTAGTTTATCGTCTTGCCAAGGATGGCTAGTTTGGGATTATATTTTTTTCTTATCGCTCCTTTTCGATTTTTCTATTTATTCTCTTATTCATTCGTTCGTTCGACCGTTACATTCCTCATTTTTAAAGTCTATTTGCACAGGAAGAAATATCTGTCGACATATATATTTGGTGTATACTTGCATTCTGTTTATTTGAATTTCTCACACTCGCCCCAGTTAAAATCACTTTCAACGACATAACTTTGTGGTCCCATTAATTAATAGAGGAAAATAACCATGTTTATTGCAAGTTTAATATTAATTATAAAAGCAAAAGTAAAAAATGTCATCATTACTAAATGCAAACATTATATGGTAGATTTAGTTTTCCAATGTGATGTGCAATGGCCTAATCAATAGGCCTTCAGGTCTCACCCATTTTATTCTGGCAGTCAATAATTAGTGTCGTTTTGCACTTATTTGCTTGGGAACACAGAAACTCTAGCCAATAAAAAAGGAACACTTTTAAATACAAAATACCGCAAACATTTGTCCTCCATTTTAAGAGATAGGTTAATACATATATACGAGATGTTACTCACTTTCTATGTCTTGCTGAACATTCAAAATGACTCCTGAAATTATTGAGAAAATTTTTTACATTTTACGTTCCCCGGAAGTTTGTGTATCAATTGGGGTATAAATAAGGAAAAAAAAAAAGATTAAGTGCAAACAAGATTTAAGCTTAAAACTCCAACGGATTAAGGGAAAATTGGTTAATTTCCTACGGATTATCAAACCTTTGTAGATTATTTAAAACCGACAAATATTTTGGATTGCTGGAATTGTTTTGCAAGTGAATATTGCTTTAACTGATTTATTTTGTTTTATTTTTCTTCAGATACAAATTTTATTAATTAACCT